CTCCAGCCATTATTAGTCTCAAAGTGGGTTCCTCGTCATCGAAAGATGTATTATGTTCAGTCAAATGGATGTGATAATTTTCTATCATAATTGACCTGTTCAATAAATACATAGTATTCTTGTGCACTGATACCGAAAGAGAATAATATTAACATCCACATCAAATAGCAGATTCAGGAAAAATTTTTTCAAAGGGATAAAATTAGCTCAGATAGCAAAGGAAAAACTTTTAACTGTTCCTCGGCCTCTGTGTTTTAATAGAGCTTCTCTTTCTGCTGGAGAGAGGAGATGTTTATATGAATTAAAGGTATGCTTGCACTGATCAGTCAGAACAAAAGTTACTATTCTAGTATTCCATAGTTCTAGATTATTTGTGTCAGCAATATTCTTATACTCATTCAAGGGGAGATTATCCCAGCTCATACTAACTTGTATAAACTTCTGTACCACTCTTTCAATATGATATGACCCACATCTGAATGGAGTGATGGTGCAGAAGCATGGCCAGGGAAGTGTTATCTCTATAAAAATAGGCACTTTTATATGTAATTGTAGACTGAGGCAAGTTTACGAGTATTAACATACTGTTTGAAAAAATGTCACGTAAGTGCAGAACACCTGCAAATAAATTTTGAAAAGTTTACACAAACGTATGTGGATAAAGAAAAATTCGTTTGTAAGTTATAAGTAGGTTAAGGCTTAGCAGTTTTCATGCTGTTACAAATACACACAGGCTAGAAACACATCAACTTATTATTATTTATTCCTGTACATAGTGTGGAAACAAGGATTCGTTAATAATATGTGAAGCATAGGGTGGTGGTCTCCAAAGCACGTGGGATAATTATATACAATGGCCAGCATTTAATTGTTGCAAGTTTACGTTTGTCATGTATATATATGTGATTCTAGAATATTTTATTGTGAATGGCTAAACTATAGATAATCCAAAGTTTCCTGGGTTTAATAACCCAGTAGGCAGCAGAAAATTTAATTTCGATAAACAGGTTTTAAATACCCTATGCAAATAATAGAATATTTATAGATAGCCTACTTACGGTCGCCTTCCCCCATTTCCCCCCGAGGTTTTGTGTATTTGTTTGTTGTTAAGCATAAAGCTACACATTGGGCTATCTATGTTGTGCTCACAAGGAGTATCAAAATCCAATTTCTAGGGTCATAAGGCCTCAGACTTAGCGCTGAGTCATTTTGGGGAAACCATCAAGGCTTTTGTGAAGTGTTACCACTGTTTGCAAATGACAACGTGGTGAATAACTAGGGGGAAATGACTATAAACACCAGATGTTTTTGGTTTGAAGTATCATCTTAATAGTGGTTTACTAACTAGTGCTAAACATTGTACAGTATTTTTGATGTATATTGCTATTAATAATTCCCCATGATAAAATAAAACGAAGATGAGTTTTCTTTACATGAGTATTTTTACAATATTAGGTCAAGAATTAGTGATGAAATTCACAAATTCGTCTAAGTCAGCAATTCTCAAATTATGGGGCACGCCACCCTAGGGAGGCGTGGGAGTACTCTATGGGAGGTGCCATCTGCGTGTAATTCTTTTATATATATAAAGAAGGGTTTAATGATCTGAAAAAAGTTATTAAAAAACGCAAAGAAAGAAAAAAAAAAGAGAGAAATATATTGCAAATAACCTTTCTTTATCTCACTAGGTGGCAACTCTTAACAACCATGACTTTCGCTGCGTAGGTTTTCCCACTCAAGTCTCTCGAATCGTAAACTGTGGAGTAGCGCATTTATTTTCTTTTTAATTAAGGAGCCTCATTATGACAAATTTGAGAATCGTTGGTCTAGACTGTTTAAATACCAAGTTGATTTGGGATACATGACTGTTGGTTACCATAACATATGAGACACATAAAAAAAAAAGATGTCACTAAAAGTACTGTCATTGTTGCGGTTAATCCTATTATTTAGTGCTGGGGTCTCAAACAGCGAGAATGTCAACTGATTAAGTACAGCAGAGTAGCCATAGAGGTTTTTGTGATTTTTCAGTCACTCATATTTAAGACTATTCATTTTGAATTGTTAATGTAGATTTTTAGTAGCTCTTCCGGTAATAGTTTTTACATAAATCTATTTTATGAAGAAAATGAGTGTTTTCTTACTTATGTCAATTCTTCACACTGAGTGTTTAACAGACAAAAACATAAAATCACTCAGTATGACGCATTATGTTGACCTCATAGGTATATCGTATTAAACAGTAGAAAAACGAGTTTGTAATATGGGAGTTAAAGAGAGGCGAATAGAAACAACCGTTTCAGAAAGCCCCTGGTTGTCTTTCTTGAGGTCTGAAAGATTTAAAACCAAAATAACTGCCAAGATTGGATTGGATCGGGGCTTAAAGATTTTTTAGAATTTCACGGTCGGTCAGTTTTTACTGAGAAGTGTATTAAACAGTAGCTCAGATCGATATAAACTAAAGCTGAGCTATGTAAACGTATCTGCACGATATTTTGTTCGCAGTACAATTTATATCGCGTGCTATGATTGGTTCCGAAAAATCTGTCATGCAGCGCTCCTCTGCCAATAACTCAGGCCGGGCGTGGCCCTGCAGTTAGCGTGCCCGCACCGTGAATCTAAAGGTTCATGGTTGGCAATCCGTTGTCTCAAACGTGCGCAGAGTACTTTGGGACAGTGAGTGTGCCATAAAAATGATAGTCAAATCCCAATATTCGATAATACAAGAATAGCCCAAGAGTTGGCGGTGAGAGTTGTTAACTATCTGCTTTCCCTCTAGTCTTATCAATTATATAGTTTTATATCATTTGTGCACCAGTGGGATAAACAATTATCGAAGCTTGTGAGTTTGAAATATGCGACAACTGAATTACTAATATCATATAGATACCATGAAGTAATCGATGAAGAAAAACATGGCGTCAGTTGATTATTTTATTTCACTTTTTTTTTTCGGTAAGTATTGTTTATGTACATAAAAAAAAGTAAAAAAAAAAGGAACATGAAACGTACTCGCGGTAATATATACTTGCATACCATTGTAAGTATACCGTTTCACTTCACTTGCATTTTTTCATTTTGCTCTATCTCAAAAATTATCTTTTTTCGGCACGCACACAAAACGTCTTGAGGAATGTTGTGGTGAGTGTCGGTGATGTATGTTTGGAGATACTTATCTTCACAATGTATAAACGTTTCCTCTTGACAATACCTGGTAAGCATTTACATATTCTAAACACACGATCTCGCGGTAAATAACTAGTAGTATGGAAACATTCACTGTAGGGGACAGCAC